GGGGGCTGCTTTGGGGGTGCTGAAGGGAAATGGGGGCTGCTTTGGGGATCCTGAAGGGAACGGGCGCTGCTTCGTGCCGCTCCCGCGCTGACGCCTCGGTGCTCCTCAGTGCTGAACCTGACGCTGATCGACCTGCCGGGGATCACCAAGGTGCCGGTGGGCGACCAGCCGCAGGACATCGAGTTCCAGATCCGGGACATGATCCTGCAGTTCATCGCCCGCGAGAGCAGCCTCATCCTGGCCGTGACGCCCGCCAACATGGACCTGGCCAACTCGGACGCGCTCAAGATGGCCAAGGAGGTGGATCCGCAGGGTGAGCGCAGCCCGCTTCTGGCCCTCGTGCCCTGGGTTTGGGCCCAGTTTGGCGCATCTGAGCTCCGCTCTGGGCCTCACCTGCGGCCCGGCTTTGCCGCTCGGTGCCGCATTGGCTCCGTTTGGCGCCACCGGGGCCGGCGTCCCCCACTTTGGGGTCGATGGGGCCGAGCTTCCCCCGGCTTTGGCCAAGCTTTGCCAAGTTCTCTGCGTCGCCCTCGCTTGGCCCAACTGCGCTCTGGTTCGGGGCCCAGCGCAGGCCGGTGCGGTGCTGCTTAATTGGCTCGCTGTCTCCTAATTGCTCGTCTGCGGCGCCGCAGGCCTGCGGACCATCGGTGTGATCACCAAGCTGGACCTGATGGACGAGGGCACGGACGCGCGGGACGTGCTGGAGAACAAACTGCTGCCGCTGCGCAGAGGTGCGGAGGGCGCTGTGCTGTGACCTTCCAGGACCTTTCCAACCCACGCCGTCGGCGGCATTCTGGTCCTGAAGGAACTCCTCCGACCCGTTCTGAGCTGCCCTGACCCTTGAGGACTTTTCCACCCCAACCGTTCTGTGAATCCGGGACCTTTCAGGACCCTCCCAACCCATCCCACGCTTCCACAGTGTTTAAGGACCCCTGCAACCCAACCGTTCCATGATTTTATCATCTTGAAGGACCTTTGTGACCCACCCCATGATTCCATGACCTTTGAGGACCCATCCAACCCAACCACCCCGTTGTTCTGTGATCTTTAAGGACCCTCCCAACCCAATTCATGATTCCATGACCTTTAAGGACCCATCCAACCCAACTGCCCTGTGGTTCTGTGATCTTTAAGGACCTTCCCAACCCATCCTATGATTCCATGACCTTTAAGGACCCATCCAACCCAAGCACCCCATGGTTATGTGATCTTTAAGGATCCTCCCAACCCCCCCCATTGCAGGATACATCGGCGTGGTGAACCGCAGCCAGAAGGACATTGATGGCAAGAAGGACATCCGTGCGGCGCTGGCGGCCGAGCGCAAGTTCTTCCTGTCGCACCCGGCCTACCGGCACATGGCCGACCGCATGGGCACCCCGCACCTGCAGAAGGTCCTCAACCAGGTGGGCAGGGAAGGCGCTCAGCCCCTGGAGGCCGCGGGCGCTGCTTTGGCGCCCAGCCGTGGCCCTGCTGCCGCCCCCTCCCTCATTTTCTGCCCCCTCCCCCAGCAACTGACCAACCACATCCGGGAGACGCTGCCGTCGCTGCGCAGCAAGCTGCAGAGCCAGCTGCTGTCCCTGGAGAAGGAGGTGGAGGAGTACAAGAACTTCCACCCCGACGACCCCACGCGCAAAACCAAAGCCTTGCTGCAGTGAGTGAGCGGGGGGCCGGGCCGGGGGCGCTGCGCCGCGGGGGGAGCGCCTGCCTTCTGTTATGGGCCTGCAAGGACCTGTCTGAGCCGAGCCCCGCTGGGGCCCTGTGACCTGCAAGGACCCTTCCAACCCCCACATCCTATGGCTGCACGATTCTGTTATCTTTGAGGACCTTTCCAACCCAACCCACTGTATGGCTCCACGACTCCTTGATCTTTAAGGACCTTTCCAAGTCACCATCCTGTATAACCCCACGGCTTCAAGGCCCATCCAACCCTCCCCACACTTCTGTGACCTTCTAAGACCTTTCCAACCCGATCCATTGTGTGGTCCTTTGGTTCTGTCATCTTTCGGGACCTTTCCAACCCAACCCATTGCATGGCTCCGCGGCCCATTGATCTTTAAGGACCCTTCCAAGTGCAGATTTTGCAGAGCCCCGCGATCTTCCAGAGCCTTTCCACCCCTCCCCATGGCTCTGTGACCTTCCAGGACCTCAGCAGCGCCGCGCCGTGTTTTCTCTGGGGGGGACGTGGGTGTTTGCGCCCCACCTGAGCCGCCGCCGCCCCCCTGCCCCCCCAGGATGGTGCAGCAGTTCGGGGTGGACTTTGAGAAGCGCATTGAGGGCTCCGGTGACCAGGTGGACACGCTGGAGCTGTCGGGAGGCGCCCGCATCAACCGCATCTTCCACGAGCGCTTCCCCTTCGAGCTGGTCAAGGTGAGGCGGGCGGCGGGCGGCGGGCGGCCGGGGCCTCGTTAGCGGGCGCTAATTGGGGCGCTGTGGTCGCCGCTCAGATGGAGTTCGACGAGAAGGACCTGAGGAGGGAGATCAGCTACGCCATCAAGAACATCCACGGCGTCAGGCACGTGGCTGCGGGGGGGGGGCTGGGGGTGTGGGGAGGAGGGCGGTGAGGTTGGGGGTTCGGATGTGGGGCGGCCTCTCACCCGCTGCCCCCCTTTGGCGCCCAGGACGGGGCTGTTCACCCCGGATCTGGCGTTCGAGGCCATCGTGAAGAAGCAGGTGGTGAAGCTGAAGGAGCCGTGCCTCAAGTGCGTGGACCTCGTTATCCAGGAGCTCATCAACACCGTCAGGCAGTGCACCAGCAAGGTACCCCCCCCCCCCCCCCCGCCCCCCCTTTGGGCTGGGAGCGCGGCCCCCCCGCCCCCCCCGGCCCATTCCTGCCCTCCCTGCCCCCAGCTCGGGCCGTACCCCCGCCTGCGGGAGGAGACGGAGCGCATCGTCACCACGCACATCCGGGAGCGCGAGGGCCGAACCAAGGACCAGGTGGGTGCAGGCGGCCCCCCTATGGCCCCCCACAGCCCTGCCCTCAGCCCTATGGGCCCCCAGACCCCCACCCACAGCCCCCCGGACCTCCACCCTCAGCCCCCCACAGACCCCCACCCTCAGTCCCCCACAGACCCCCACCC